ATAGAAATGGGTTTGAAAATTGGAGGGAGAATTGAAAAAGTAAACGGTAGAGAACTAACTTACAGTGAGTTCGCCGAGAAATATATGTCCCAGAACCAACCTGTGCTTCTTACAGGACTTATGGACGATTGGAGGGCTTGCAAAGACTGGGTTTCACCTAATGGAAAACCCAATCTTCACTTTTTCTCTACCCATTTTGGGAAATCCAAAGTTCAGGTAAGATATTACTTTTTTTCGACCCAATTCGTTAAAACCCTAATTTCGACTTTTTTTTTTAGGTTTTTGGGTTTGTGGTCAGTTACTGGTGATTTGCAGGTTGCAGATTGTGGGACTAGAGAGTTCACTGATCAGAAGAGAATAGAAATGACTGTTTCTGAATTTGTTGATCGCTGGCTTCATGATGGTGGTGCTGGTGGCGGGTCTTTATTGTATTTGAAGGATTGGCATTTTGTAAAGGTATCAACTTTGGGTCCGCTAAAATGTGAAATAGCTAAATTCAATGTTGTGATGCTTTTGTGAATCTTTTTTTTTTTTGTATTAGAACTCTTTCTTGAAGGAAAATTAGCCATATGGATGCAATTGATATATGTGCTACTGATCATTGATTTCGTAAAGTTTGCTCTACTCCTGCTGTGAAATAGTGGAATACTAATAATTTATTCTTGGAGAAAGAAAAATGCTGTCCAAATAAAAAGATGAGTTTTGTTAATTGCTATCAGCACACATTAAGTAGAATGAAGAGTGTTGAAATAATGGTTTGTGGATAGTTATTATCTATGATCCTAACAATCAGGTCGATATATGGCTATAGCATATTGTTTGACCCCCGCACTTAACATATTGTGGAGGGAGACTCTATTTTTAAGAAGCTTTGCTTGCAGAAATTTTGTACTCCTTTTCGCTATGATAATGTTTGTTCAGGATTTAAGTCAGCTGATAAATCTCTTTTTTTTCAGCATAGTAGCTAATTTTGAAAACGCAAACTTCTTTTTAGGAATATCCGGAGTATATTGCATACAGAACTCCCATGGACTTTTCAGATGACTGGCTGAATTTCTATCTTGACAAATTTCATATGCATAACGATCCTGATACATATAGTGAGAGAAATGATATAACTTGCTCTGACTATCGTTTTGTATACATGGGATCAAAAGGTCTGACCATCGTCGCGGTAATTTCTTTCTTGTAAGACACGGTTGTTATTTTTCATGGCTCTAGCAATAAATTAGTTTGTTTTAATCAAATATCTAATACTTTTGGGAAGTTTTCAAACTTTTGAAATGGATGTAGGAACATGGACACCTCTTCATGCTGATGTATTCAGGTCATACAGTTGGTCTGCAAATGTCTGTGGAAAAAAACAGTGGTATTTTCTGTCTCCAAGTCAACAACACTTGGTTTTTGACAGGTGCAGTACATTCTTTTGTTATCCATGGATTTCTTCAGACCACTTTTCTTTTCCTGTCAACATTTTCCATAGACTTTGGAAATGATACTGAGTTGAAACTGTGAATGTTTGGAAAAAATTGTCTGATTGACTGAGAAAGAAATGTACTCTGCGGAACCCTGAAAGTTCTGATGTCAAGGTCTTAGCAGATGCGCCATATCAACACAGAAATGTATCTCAAAAGAAGTTTGCACATATTATATGTTGGTTTTACATATATTCACAATCTTCTATAGATGGCTGTCACAGAATACTAAAATAGGAACGTCATACACGTATAACTATCAGTTTCCTAGATCAATGCATTACAAAATGATACAAAATTCAAATCTACACGTTTTATGTGTTTCCTTTCATACTTTCATTGATAACTATTAACTTGTAATGGCACTTATGATTGATTTAAAGTGATAAAGTTTCCCTGTATTGCTATAAGTGAATTACTTCAACAGGTAAAATGATGTTAGTGGAACAAATGATGCTTGCTATCTTCGGTGAGTTCACATAATCTATACTCTTTGTTTACTCAGGAATATGAAAAGTTCCGTATATGACATCTTTGCTGAAGTTTCTCAATCAAAATTTCCTGGATTTGAAAAGGTAATTCGCTAGTTGCTTTTTCCATGAAGTATGTCTCTCTGGCAATTTTTCCTTGGGATTCAAGTGTTCATTTTTTTCCATCATGAGTTCAGGCTGTCTGGTGGGAGTGCACCCAGGAGGAAAATGAAGTAATCTTTGTTCCCAGTGGATGGTATCATCAAGTTCATAATCTGGTATTGTTGCTTTAATCAAATGTGTCTTATTTGTTATTCCCTATGTTTCTTCATAGCGTATAATTATCTACAGCTTTTCATTCAACTGAAAAACTTGAGTAGTCTACCTTGTATTAGATCCTAACTTCCTATTTTTATTACACTGCTTACTGCTTAGTGCTTTCTATAAAGCTGACCCATGGCTTATGGGGTTTAGTGCTAAAATTGAAACATGTACAACTGCAATTTGCTCTCTTGGAAGGTTTTAATCTTGAGTTCCATAAAGGGATCTAATAGTGAGGTGATTACTGTCCCAGTTACATCCATCACATATTAGATAAGATGAATTACTTTAGTTTCAGATTAAATATCTTCCACATATACTGGACATAACTGTTTAACACGGACAGGTCATATATATTTCTATAAGGGGATACATTGTTGACTTGGATCTGTTTCTCATAACAATTGACAATAGATTCTGGTAAAAGAAGGATCATTTTAATTGTTCGTATATGGCTGTTGGAAGGAAGATAGGATCAATCTTTACATGTTATTAAGCTGAAAATTGCATTTGAGATACTACTTTCTCGTATTTACTTTAAGGATCTAGGGCCTGTATTTCTGCTGAATCAAAGTATGTTACATGAATTGCAGGAGGATACCATATCCATAAATCATAACTGGTTCAATGGATATAATTTATTTTGGGTGGTAAGTAAAGTTGCTATAAAATCTTGCTTAATAGCCTTTACATGAATATAGTTATTATCTTTTCCTCAGAAATTAATCATATCTATATATGTGATATTAGTGGGATTTGCTTTTAAAAGATTACAACGAGGCTAGTGAATACATTGACGACCTCAAGGGATGTGATGACTTTGAGGAGCTTTGCCAACGAAATCTTGCCGCTAATACAGGTCTGCCCTTGATCATAGCGAGATAATGGTGGGGTCCTGGGGGGTGTACAGCATTGTGTAACGAACTTACAATTTTGGCTTAGCTGAGTCTTCTAACATGACTGCTTTGTTATCTTCTGTTGAAATTCTTTGCGAGTTCACTTAAAGAAGGGAGAACAGTAATCATCTTATTATACTAATATATTACTCGTATATAAATCTACTTGACCTATCAAAAAACTTATATTTTATAAAATCTACTGCCGTCTGTTTTTCACTTTTCTCTTTTTAGTTCTTGGATAGTTTGAACAGTCTTATTATTATAGTTTGAGTTCTGATTGATGGCGCCAGCATCTTGAGTCTTGACAATCCGGCTATTTTTTCCTTTTCTTTTGTAGGAATGAATTTCTATGACTTCTTCATCTTCATTGTGCGCTTTGCATTTGCAAACGTAGTCCTACTACATACACTTGCCCATGTAAAGAATGAAACAAGTCGGAAACCATCAAAAGCACTGCAGCATATATATTTTAACCTCGAATCAATAAGAAACGTCGCTGTGAAAATGAAGCCCATAAATACAGGGGTCAGGCAAGGTGTTTTACTTGACTTGAGGAAAAACTTGGAGGATCACTCGTTTATAGAGCTCTGTGCAGCTGTTAGAAAAACATATGAACTGATACATGACCAAGATGAGACGACCCCTATATTATTGCAGTGTACTAATTCTGTTAGATCTCAAGTTCAGAGTTCTGAAGACCTCGTTGCCTTTATCAATGATGCTTTGACTAAACGAGGTGGTGCTTTTTCTTGTTAGGAATATCTGTACACATATATGAAGCAAGAAGTTCATGTTCTTTGCATATCGATAGAGGACATCACGCCTGATTCTCAAGGAAAAATTGAATGTTTTTAGGATGATTCTACTACTATTTTTTTCTTAAATGCTTTGAACATGTTGGAGAAGTAAATATTCCTGCATTTTACTTGTATTAGTCATGGTCTGAACTTTGAAAATTGTACGTCTACCACTTTGGAACAGTTTATTTGAATTTAGGCTTGCCTAACTATTGACGGATGTTTGAAGTTTCATATGATCGAAGTTTGTGCATATATAGTTAGAAGTTTGTTCCGACAAAAATAATTGACTGTGGCTGGCTACATATATTTTAACTACTTTACTGCACATGAAAATCAAAGACTGCATGATCCACAAGTATGACGTTCTTCAGCTTACCTAAAAATTGACTTGGACTTTTTAAACAAAGGAACCAAATCCCTGCTACAAGTTTTGTCTTTTTATATTATTTTCTTGATAAAAACCATGTTCTTGATTAGTGAACTTGGATTGTCTTCATTTATGGGATGCTTTTGTTGGGTTGACTAGGCCTCTAACTTCTCTTATAAAAATAAAAAAATATGTATTATTTGATTATTATAATGCCTGGGAAGGTTCATAAATCATAACTTAAAAGACTTAGGCCAGTTAAATTGTATTCTCCCTATGCTTCCCACATGCAATATCTACATGAACGTTGCTATCAACATTATCTCACTAGAAAAATTATTTGAAAAAAAAATGAAAATTTTCTAGCTTTCTGTATCTGTAATCTCACTGGCACAGAAGAAGACAGATACATTGGGTAATTGAGTTCCCCAACCTACTATTTAGCTCCACGAAGTCTCAAATTCAATTTTTATAGTTAAGTCTTGCTTAATAGAGTTACTCGATATTAAAATTAATTGAGAGAATGTGCAAAGAAGTTGATCATGATTATTAAAATCATTTTGGTTAATACACCTTGGACTTTGAATTTCCAAGTTCCAATGGTAGGTGTGGTGGTTCAATTTTTCTACACACAATTGACGAAAAAATAAACTAAAATAACATAGATATAGATTGTAAATCGATACTATCAACTTTTCACCAAAAAATTTACATCAGCTTATAATGGTCAAATAAGTAAATTTCTAAGCAAACCAAGATTTTTATGTGAAAGAATCATAGAAATGACCCAAACCCTTCTAAAATCCTAGGTCAAAATAGGGACACAAAAGACCAAAAAATTAAAAATAGGACACTCTACAAGACCAAAATGAAATTAATTGCACTCCTTTTCCATTATGGACACCTTGAACTTCTTCCAGGACCACCATAGTAAAAATAATTACCCCAAACATTATTTTTTCCAGCTCTAATATCATAGCAATTTGGATGGTCAGCTAATAGATGAAGATTTGACAAAGGAATCAAGTTATTATCCCAGTCAACAACTTGCAAATTTCTAAAATAAGAAGCTTTTCCAAATCCTTCATCAGCAAAATGTCCACTTCCCATTTGTGTTGAAGTGTGATACCCCATTGATCTTGAATTCACTACTTCACCTCCAAATTGTACCATACTTGCATGTCCTCTTAAATGGCTAAACAAGAAATCTGGCCAGTATCCAACTAATAGACCCGACCCGAATTCTAGCCACCAGTGTCCATGCTTTGGATCCTACACACAAGACAAATTAATTAGTTGTTCTAGTTATCGAATTATTTAAAAGATACCGTAGAGACCCTGTAATAGGTTCACGAATATCATTAATGTCTACTAGAGAAGGAAGTCGCTAACTATTTTCCACTTAATAAGTGTAGGGGAGAGGGAATCGAGTCTTGGAGAGCTTTATAAAGTCAACCACTACATAATTTGCGCTGACAAAGAAAACTCGAATAGCTTCCCTTCATTCGTTACTATGCCAAGGTCCCAGGTCTTCGAGTCGTTAGTGTAGTATAAGCGGAGCCGAAAGACAAAAATAAAATACCACAATTATTAACGTTATTTTATTTATTCCGTTAATCGAATGTGTCTATGACCTAATATATTAAAATACATAAGACCCTTAAAAAAAATGAAACAAGTGTGGAAACAAGAAGTGTAATAGTTCCAAAATATTAAACTGTTGGACCTAAAAGCTGTTAGATGTCAGCTAGCAAGAAAATAGAATATTAAATTGAAGATGCAAAATGGGAAGTTGACTCAGCAATGTTTGGAGAATCTTGCAATTTACTATTCTTAAATATTTTTATTTTTTTAAAAAAAAATAAAAAATTGTAGAGGAATATAATATAATATATATTACTATTACGTTTTTGTCAGCTCAACCAAAAATGTCCCTATACGCATGCCTAAAAGAAAAAAGAAAACGTACTTGATAAACATTTTTTGGTGGGTGGGGGAAGTGCAAAACAGCTAAAAATACTTTTTAATTAAAAAAAATGAAAGAATATAAATATTACAAATTTTTTTTTAAAAAAAAAATATTACCTTCCATATCATTATGCCAATATCAAATTGTCTACCATTAACTGATGATCTTGGAGATATTGCAGCTCCCATAGCAATTCTATTATTTATTTGAACAAAACCTGAGCATAATAAGTTGTAACATCCTGTAGCTTGGTATGCATCCGTCTGCGTTACGAAATTACATTATTAAATTTAAATTTTATACACTAACATATTAAGATACGAAGAAAAATTTAAAATACTTACCGTCCAATAAGTAAAGAACCTAGGATAGTTGTCTCCGTATAATTCCGGGCTGACCTGAATATGAACATGGGACATAATTAATATTTACTATAGTTGAAAATTTATGTTGACTAATAAAAGAATATTAGCTGTTACTATGATATATGGATGTTAGTTTGTTATGACAACTAAATTAGTCGATATTTCACTTTCAAAATTAATCATTTGTTTGTACTAGTGATTGTTACAGCTTAGCAGCAATAATGATTTCTACTACTTTAACGGGTAATTGAATAGACTAAAGTAGGTTCAAATCGCACTTAAAGCAATGTAAAAAAATAGAAAATTTTCGATCATATGTATTTTACTTTTAAAAAAAAATAGTCAAAAAAAAAACTCGTTGAAAATTAACAAACATAAAAATTCAGTCTAATTTATAACAAGAAAATATTAGTACGATTTAATTTTTTAAAGAAGGAAAAATATTTATCTGGACAAAGACAAAAGAAAAATATTGTTGATTTTTGTTATTTGTCTAAAAATTGAGCAAAATTGTTTGGTACATATATTGGTGAAACATAATAAGTACTCAATATGAATTAGTTGAAATTTACATAGCCCCAAAAGGCAATTCTCTTCTTATGAGTCCATTTTTAAGAAAAATCTCTTAAATTAAAAGATACATTAAATATATTAAAATGATTTTTAATCTAATGATTTTAAGAAAGCGGAATAAACAAAGTTAGACTCTACTATCATATCTTTAAGAAGGAAAGTGATAAAATAATGTACATAGGACTTAGAAAATGTATTGCTTATGAATGTACATACCTGCCAACCAGCTTCAATGGTATTAAGATCATTACCAAATGAACCAGAAATGACCCATAGTTGTGACAGACTGAATTCATATTGATCTGTAACTCTTGGTGTCCATACATTAATACTTGCTTTTGCTCCATAATATTGTTCTCCATTCACAAATGCTACTGCATGCTGCCATACACCACACACATCAATTTTTTTTTTCTTCATTTTCACCTTTAGACATATTTTACATTAACTTTTGTATTGTCTTAATCCTACTTTGCTTTTACAAGCAATATCTGTTCCTTATTGAATGTGACATCTTTGACTTAGACTTTATACGCAAAACTTATCACTACCTTGTTCTTCTAAAGTATGTGGAACTGTAAAAAAAAAAAAAAAAATTACCTCATGGTCATTGCTTGATGTGTCATGTCTAACACCTCTTCTAATTTTTCTACCAAATCTTCTTAATGAATTACTTCTCAATACATCTTTCTCTGTTGTTCTCCTAATAGGAACAGTTCCTTCTGGGCATGATTCTCCAGATACTGTCCAAAGTTGTAAACTTTCTTCCATTATATTCATTGATTCATTAGCTTTAGGCCTCTTTGGAGGTTCCTACATTGCATCAAAAGATTCTAAAAAATCAAAAAAGTTGTTCTTCCAACTCTGTTTATAACTATAAAAAAAAAAGTAAAAATAAATGTTTTTTTTTTCTGAACAAATTACCAATGGCTTCATTCCTTTAAGTTGAGGATGATCAAAAGCTGGTTGAAGATGAGATAAAACACAATCTATTAAATCTCCATCTGGACTCTGCATCATAAAAACCAAAAAAAAAAATCAAATCTTTTTTTCTTACAATCTTGAAAAAGAAACAGAGTATTATATTAAGAAGATATGCCTTAATCGTTCTGACAGGACGCTTGTTGATTTTCTTGAGATAACCCTTTATTTTCTTGAGTTTCAACAATTCTTCCTTTGGCCTGAATGTTTGATTTGCTTGGAGAGTAGACAAAACATGAGTACTAAATGAAGAAAAAATAACAAGGAAAGCAACAAATTTGAAAATGATTGAAGAAGAAGTATTCATGATTTATGGAATGTCCTTTTCTGATTGTTTCTTCTGTTAATATTTGTTGTATTGAACTTGTCTTCTACTGTAATGAGAAGCAACACAACAAGATGATTTATTCCAGAATTTTGTCCATGGAAGAAATACTTGTTGTTTGATCTTCCATATTCTAAAAAAAACAAAACAATTTAGAAGAGTACAAGACAAGAAGAAAGATTCAAAGAGTAAGTTAAAACACGGTTACACACACAACATTTTTCAAGATTCAATTTTTATTTTTATTTTTGATAGAGAAAAATAATTCTATTTGTATAGATTTTTTTTTTTTAAATGTTTGTGTGTGTTTCTTTGGTTTTGTGTACTGACACGCAGGCTGAATTTGTATTAAAATAGACAAGGAGGGGGGTGGGGTTGGGGGTTAATTAAGTGTTAACCCCACTTACTGTTGTTTCTAGTCAAAAGTAAGGACCAGTTCTTTATTCTAATAGCTGTGTTAACAGAGTTCCAGGCACTCAAATGATACTGATTAAATATTAACAAACTGAGATTTTGGTGTTTCAGCAGATTTATTATATATTCTGTCACGATTTTTGTGATTTTTTTTATATTTTAAAATTAAATTATAATTTAAATATTAAAAATAATATAAATTATAATATTTGTACGTTAATATAATTAAAATATTTATCAAAATTTATCTAATTTAAATTTAAAAGAATAAAAAGTATCAAATAAATTACGACAAAGAGAATAGTATTCTATATTCTTTCTTCCTTTTTATTTTTTCTGTGGGGAAAGGGGAATCATTACTACTGTTGCTTCACTTGGTTTTCAAGAAATAAATGGATTTCTATTGTTGCTTCACTTGGTTTTCAAGAAAGAAATGGATTAATGATGGGGTTAGAGATTGCGATTTAAGACAGAAGGTTAGTTGATAGTTGAGTGTTCTCACGCTGAGGTAGGATTGGTGGTAGTACATGAACCTTCATTCTTACCGTTATTCAGGAACGGAGCCAGTCTTCTGTTAGGGGTTCATTCGAAGCTCCTTCGGCGAGAAAGATCTGGTTAAACTTATTTTTTATATATATGTTGTAAATATTGAACCTCTTTGATGAGTTCGTGTGTTTAGTTTTTGAACCCCTTATTAAAAGTTTTAGCTCCGTCATGTAGTATATTAACACTATTCTCGTAGTTTCTTGTTCTATGATTAAATTATCACTTATACTTTTTGTACTTCAATGTGATTGATCAATCGTGTTTTTATGTGCTTCGATTATCACATTATTCAGCTCGCATTAAAGTTCTTTTATCTTTATGTGTGTTGCTCCTATTCCACGTTATTCTTTTGTTGTTATTGCTCTTATTTTTGTATTCTCTTTTTGGAATTATTTTTTAAAAAATGAGTTGATTAAAAACACAATTTTCTACTTTCTCTCAATTTTATATGTGAAATTACACTGAATATATTATTTTTGATGATATATAAATTATTTTATTTATTTATTTTAAAAGACTGTCTGGAAAGACAACCTACCATGTACTATATGTAACAGTAATGAATAACAAGAATTTAAGCAAAGCGTCAGAAATTGTTGGATCAATTTCTATTTTGCAAAAAATTGGGGTCGCTTTCTAATGGACCAAATTTTGCATTTAATGATATACTTATTACAAACGTAATTATGATCACCATTTAATACATCTATATAAAATAAGAAGAAAAAAAATACCACCAACACAACATATCACAGTGATGAAGGAAGGAAAATATTTTTGTCTTATTTTAACATTACTATTATCTTTTATTTTTGCATCATAGACTTCAAAATTTTAATTTAGATAATAAATTTTAAATGTTAAATTTCATATCGAATTAAAATAATGTTACATAAATTAAGATAAAGACGATATTTATTTAGCGTAGTAATATGTATGTTCGCAATGCACAAGGTTCTTGTTTGTTTCGTAGGTTGTCAGCACAATATATTTTTGTCCCATTTTAACAAATTTATTATTTAGTATTATTGTGCAGTAAACAAGGTAAAATATTTTACTATGATATCTCACTTGTCAACCTGCTCTTGCTTTGAGAACACTAACCACCAAAATAATTAAGTAAAAACAAAGTTTTTAACTTCTTTTCATGACTGATTACATATTTGCAACGTTACGTTGTCTGAAAATTTTCACAAATTTGAATGCCTAAATGGGCTTAAAATAAGGCTATGCAAATCCATGTTAATTGGATTAAAAAGGGGGGAAATTATATATAATAGCAAACTAATAATCTAAAAGAAATTGAGTAGCTAAGGTTTGATTTAATTATGCTACATAGCAAAACGTTTGCAAAAAATTGTCAGGAGCCTCTCTCCCAAATATCTCGCTCGCCACTCTCCTCCAATCTCTCGCTCGCCACTCTCCTCCAATCTCTCGCTCGCTTCCTCACTTTTTATACAAACACAAGTGTATAAAAATTGTTTCTAATTGTATAAAGTAGAGAAAATTGTATGATCTCGCTCGCCACTCTCCCAAATCTCGCTTGTCACCCTCGTCTTTCTCACTTATACAAACAGAAGCGAAATGTATAAATTGTGTTTCTGTTTGAGAAAATTGTATATACACGTGCAAGTACATATATTTTCGTCCTATACACTTATTATTATACAATAAAAATACTCCTCTGCCCAGTTTCTTTTGCCTTTCTTTCTTTCTCGTTTTATACAATATTCAAACTGTATCTAATTTCTCTCTTTCTCGTTTTATACAATTCGATTCAATTGTATATTCCTTGTCAAGTCTCTTTTGTCTTTCTCTCTTTCTCATTTTATACAAATTCAAATTGTATATAATCGTTCTATACACTTGTAATAATATAATTCGTTTTATACAATTTTCTGCTCAAGTGTCTTTCTTTTTCTTGTTTTATACAATTTGTTTTATACAATTTGCTTCAACTGTATTTGTATAGCGAATTATACAGTTTATATGTTTGCTATAGAGCGCAATTATACAAACTTTGCTATAGCATACAAATATAAATTTTTTATTTGCTATATATAAAAGTTGTCTTTAAAAAAATTGCCTATCGTATTTTTCAATGTATGTTTAAGTTATTTTCTTTTAGGAATTTCTATTACAAATATGGCAAATATTTCCTACAATTGGTTTATATATGCGAATCGTGTCGGTATTAAATTCATTAATAATTTACCATCCTAGGTCCTACCATTGATTTTTAATCAATGCATGATAAAAATGCGTTTACACACTCAACTTTTCAAAGTCTCAAATTTGGCCCCAGGCACTTTGGATTGTTTTTTTCTTCTCTTTCATATCAAAAATTGACTTGAGAAATTCATGAACAATGATGTAATTATTCCATTAGGCTTAATGAATCTTGACTAATTAATGTACATTTGAATTATTTTCCTTTTTTTTAACGTGGGACTTAATTAAAGTTCAAAATTGAAAATTGATTTAAAGGTTGAGGAACAGTGAGACCACCTTTATTTTTATAAAACTTTGTAATTGCGTATAGTTATAAAACTTTGGTTAAATATTATAGACTTTTAGTACTTTTTTGGAATTTGTTTGATTTTGGGAATCATATGAAAAGTTCCAATCATGTTTATTAACAGTAGAAAAAACGAATAAATTGGATATCAGAAAAGGGATTTATTTTATTTCATTTCATTATTATAGAAGTTGAAATATTGTAAATTATTTGTCAGTCTACTGTCGAACTTTTCTCCTTCACTTTATGCATGTTGTTTAATAAATAATTTCTGAAATATGAAAAGTTTATTAATAGTAACAAACAAAATGTTTCATTCAACCAAGGAATAAATGAAATTGTTAAGTAATAGATAAATCTGACCAGATGGTTGGGATAGTGATAGTCCCATAAGGAAGTGAAAAAAAGTGAACATATTGTCTTTTGAGCCACAAAAAAGTAAAAAAATAAAGTTAAAAATAAAGATAGGGCAACTGGACTTTATTTTATGGATACATTAACACAAAATAAATTTCTATAGATTTAGCACTTACTAATTATTTATTTAGAAAAAATGTCTGAAATATATTTAAATTTTAATCAAAATTATTGTAATAATATCGAACTATAAAAAAGATTATTTGTTCCTTTGCACTATTTAATAATGTATTTTGAAGGTATATATGTATCCAAGTGGACATCATAAATATTGCATCATTATGAATAGCAATGTGTCCACGTGGACATATATATACTTTTAAATACACTATTAAATAGTGTAAGGATAAAATATCCTCCATAAAATTTAATATCTTAACATCAATTTCGACTAAAATTAAAGTATTTTTGAGATCCTTTTTTTCCATTAATTTGACACATCTAATGACTTTCTACATTTGATACTAAAAGCTTTAGATTGATATAAAAATTGGTCAAATATACATTCAACTTATTTTTGGCTTTTGAGAGTGTTTGAAAAAGTTAAAAGTAACTTAAAATAAGTTAAAAATTAAAATAAAACGTAGGAGTCTCCTACTTTTTTCTAACTTAAAAGTTATTTAAGTTTCATTTTTCATTTTTTAAATTAAAACTTACCGTATTTTAATCAATCCAAACAAATTCTAATAGCGACTCCTTTTCATTTAGCTAAGTCGAATAAATTCTTACTAATCAATAAAAAAAACTGACACGCCAATATCTTAAAAAAAAGTTCTAAGAACTTCTAAAACATTGTAAGATTACTGATTATGTAACATTATTTGATCGAATATAAAGTTTAAGAAGGAAAGAACAGTACCCTTTAAAATTTATAATCTAAAGCTTACTCGTTTATAATTGTGTAACTATTAATCATAGAGACATCTTTAATTTTGAGGATAAACTAGAAAAGAATAAATGTTTTAGTTGTTAGATCCTAGCCATATGCCTAAAAGGTCAATTATTTTTTCAATCAAGTGGTTTATCATTATTCATAACCCTGATTAGGCTTCATGATGATCAAATCTTATTATATCTAAGTTTTGTTGGCATTAATCTTTTTATTAGGGGAAGAAGACAAAAAAAATTATTTTTTTTTAATGAAAAAAGTAAGTTAAGGAAGATGATTGGCATTTGCAAGAGTGCACTAAAGAGGTGATGATGATGATGAAAGTTTAAAGAGGCAATGAATATACAGTGGGGGTAATTGAAATAGCATGTGGTATGCCACTATTTGGTATAGGAAGCACAAAGGTATGGAGGACATACTTTTACACACTTTTAACATCTTTATGGGGTTTTGGGGCACTTGCTGCTTCCCACTTCACCCTTTTTAAAAAAAAAATCACTTCTTTTCACAATCAAAATAAAGAAAAGAGT